AAAAAAAAAAAAAAAAAAAAAAAGTACCATGTCCCATCTCTACCATGAAGAATCTCTAATTTATTTATTTACTCTTGGCGGGGGCCTGGGCACTGACTTATTTTTAAGTTCCTCAAGTGGTAATGTGTAGTCAGGATTAAGAACCTGGGGTCTCCTCAGTGTTGTCTGCCTCCCAGGCCCCAAACACAACCTGCTATTTTCCTCAAAATGCCCTCTCACTCATTCCAGCTGCCACCGTGAAAATGTTACCTCCTACTTAAAGTCTCCCTGTGTAACATGGTAGGAACGTAAACATGGTAGGAAAAGTTCTCTCCCTCCTCTGAAGCTGTGCCACGGTTTCTTTCAACATGCTTCATTTCACACTGCATTATAGTCATTTACATGCACGTTCTTGTTTCCCCAAACTAGGTGTGTGTGCTTTTGAGGGAAGGCTGAGTTCTCCTCGTGGGCCAGTTAAGGCAATTTAGAAATTTGATCTTAATTGTCACAACATCTCTTTGAGGAGGGCATTAAACCTCCATATTTTATAACCAAGGAAACAGAAGCTAGAAGTAAAGTAGCTTGCCTAAGGATTTTAAAACTAGTAACTTACAATTTTTCTTCATATATTACCTATATTGCAACTTTCTTGCAGGTTGTCACATCAGAAAAACATCCAATAAATGCTGAATAATGTATAGATTTTTAAGTTTGGTCACTGAAAACAGATCAAGTCAGTACTGCTAACAATTAAGGGAAAATGAAAACAATATGACCTATTTTCCTTTCCAAGATAATTACTTCAAAGTCATTGCTTAGTTTTGATACTTAAACTATACTGAAAAAAATTCAGAGCAAAACAATAGTTTGGGAAACTACTATTTCTTTAATAAATTTTTTTTTTCAGCGTTTATTCATTTTTTGGGACAGAGAGAGACAGAGCATGAACGGGGGAGGGGCAGAGAGAGAGGGAGACACAGAATCGGAAACAGGCTCCAGGCTCTGAGCCATCAGCCCAGAGCCTGACGCGGGGCTCGAACTCACGGACCGCGAGATCGTGACCTGGCTGAAGTCGGACGCTCAACCGACTGCGCCACCCAGGCGCCCCAAGGGAAACTACTATTTCAAGAAACAGAAAACAATGAATTTGTACACATCAAGAACCAAAAGTTGTGTAAGTGACTAATATTCTATAAAGAAAGTAATGAATTTATGGCAAGAAAAAAAGCCTATGGGAGGGTAGGTGAGGAAAGGCCTAGGGAGACAGAAAGCAAAGTTTGGCTCTGGGAGTAGGAGGGGGCGCAGGAGAATTTGCAGAAGGAGAGAGGAGGACCAAGATAACCAGTATCAAGATCCAGAGGAACACACCCAAGTCCAGGTGACAGAGTTATGCGCCACAGCCCAGTAGGAGCACCGAGGACAGGGGCTGCGAGGCGGAGACCCCTCAACCAAAGGGGAGCAGGAACCTTCCTTCTCTGATCATCTGAGATGATGGAAGATACTTCAGGCCCCGGAAACCGCAGGGGGAAGGGAAAAAGAGGGGTGTGGAGAAGTCATGTGGGTGAGTGCATATTACTCAAGAAAGAATGACATACTTTTAACTGGCAGGATTAAATGCCTTCAGTGTTGAATCAGAAGTGCAGGTTCAAGAACAGGACAGGCTCACTTACAAACAACAGAGCAAGGCAACCCGTGTAGTTTGTTTGTTCATAAATTTTTTGTCCTTTACCAGAAATCAGCAAGACTAGGTTCTCATTCTAACTAAATATTAAATGAATAATTTCGCAGTATTTTTTTTTTTTTGAGAGGGGGGCAAGTGAGTGAGGGGCAGGAAGAGGGAGAGGGAGAGAGGGAGGGAGGGAGGGAGGGAGAGAGAGAGAGAGAGAGAGAGAGAGAGAGAGAGAGAGAGAGGCGGGACTCACTCGGGGTTTGTGTTTTACCCAAAGAGGGCTCAGACTCACCCGATGTGGGGTTCATCCTCACCCAATGTGGGGCTCGAACTCACAAACTGAGATCATGACCTGAGCCGAAATCATGTATGTAACAGCTGGGCCATCAAGGCATCCTAATTTTGCAATATTTTATACAATGTATGGAGGGAAGGTGGTTCTTATATTCCTTAAATGGTAAAACGAAGGGATGGATTGCGCGAATGTGCTTTTAAACTTGAAATTCTATAATCTTTACTAACATTGCCCATGTTAATATTGTATCCTTTCGTGTTTCTGTTAAATAACAATACCCTGTTTCTAAAACTTAAGAAAAATTCAAATTTAAGAACAAAATTCGTTCATTTAAATGGGAGTAAAAAGCAAAATATTTGCTTCTGTCATTTGGTGACAGTTTCATCTCATTATAGAAAAAACAAAGAAATTTTTTCTCATTCATAATATTTGCTTCTATCATTTGGTGACAGTTTGATCCCATGATAGAAGAAAGAAATAAAATTCCTTGTAAAGTATAGAAACTACAGAAGCTTCCTGTCCTACGCTACATACTCCAAAAACAGGTACATAGCAGTTAATATAAGTTGAATAAGGAAATAACTGAATTTAGAATGACTCAGTAATCAGCTGAAAGGAATTTTACTCAGAATTATTTATCAGCTCTTAACTGGATGCACTTGACAATAATGTGGCTTCACTTAAACGTCCCTGGGAACATATAAAGCTACAGCAGAGGCAAAAGTGAGACCAGAAATGGAGGTGTGGTGGATGGGGTGGTGGTTTAAAATTCTCAGGTAACATTCCATCTACCCAGCATTTTAAAGGAAATTATGGACATTACATGTAATACAGGAAAAACCATTACCCTCACAAAATTGCAATACTTGTAATTCTCCTCAATTTTATGAAAATCCAATAGTGTCTGAGGCTTATAGATACCACTGGATAAATATGTACCAGATTTATCGATAATAAGAGATTTACTTTTCTAATGAAGTGAGTCTTACAATCCCAATTTTATACTAGAAAAAACTTAAAGGCTTGAGAAGTAATTTGACTGAAGTCTTACACTTGGAATTTGAATCCAGGTATGTCTGTCTCCAAACTCCATACTCTTTAAGTGACAGTGCCTTGAAAACAGGTAAGGATTCTTATGTATAAAGCACTTATCTTACCTCTAAGTAATGCAGAGCCATTAAATACATGAGTAACAATCAACTGTACTCTAGTGAAACAGCGGTCATAAAAGAGATCAACACAGCAAAAAATATACTTACTCATTCCTGAGCATTCTCTATCACCATCCCATACATTAGAAACAGCATGTCCAGTCAGTAGGAGGTTAATTAAACTTTGGCTATTAATAAAAATTTAAAAGTAATTAAAATATGAATAAACTAGTTTTCAAATCAAATGATCCCTATGGTAAGGCATAAAGTAATGTCTACTTACATTACATTATGTCGGTTAAGAAACAAAGTTAGAGCAAACCTTACATTTTTATTTTATACACTCAACTGAACAACAGCTTTGCTAAATGTATCACTACGTGTATCACCACATGGGTATCTATTGTGCTATATGTTCAACTACACTTAACTTTATCCAACACATCACCTTTTAGTGGACAAAAAAAGATGAGACTAATAATTTGCTTGATATTTATAATACTCTATAAATATAAACATAATTATTATTTTTTGTTTGATGGCTGATTTTTTTTTAACTTCTGAGGCAAAGATCTAAAGAGAAAGACTTATGTAATACAGTGGGTTAACTATCATTGTTTCATTGATTTTAGTAGAAATATTAAGAACTCGGGTGTGTGTTGGGGGAGGATGTTTCAGAGAAAAATAAGGAGAAAATATTTCCCCCAAACAGGAAAGCATTTACAAATAGTTAAGGATGTACTTATTTCTAAGTAAATTCCATCCATTAAAAAATTTCATAAGTGAAACATACAGCAGAATTTGTTAAAACACCCCTGTTGTCATCTTAAAAGAAAATTTTTGCCATAATAGATGCAATGCATACATAAACCTGAAGTGGAAAATAACATTTCATATATAAAGCAAACAATGCGTAAAGTACAAGGTTGCTCAAGTTTCTATACTTTATGCTGTCAACACTGACAGACAAAATTATCTGACTCAGGAGCGTTTTATCTTAAAGTCAAGTTCCTAAAAACCTAAGTCCGTGTAGGTAGGGAGATAACAGATTTTAGTTAATTACCTGCCATGTCCATATACAGGATCTATCAAAGGTTCATTTGAATCTTCAATTTCATTTTTTATGTTTTCAATGCCCTAAAGGAATCAAGAAATTCATTGGCTTATTTTAAAAACTAAAATTGAATATTACGGTAATTTAAAAACTGATCATTTTTTTACTATAAAAGAATAAAGCACAATTATTTAAGTAACTTTTCTCCCCCAAAGTTACTCAGATTTGATGTGGGGTGGGGACATTTGAGATGCTAATGGTAAGAAGTAGCTCCTCCAAGAATATCTTTTCTTTCATGGGCTGTATATCAAAAGTGCTGACGGACTCATGGGTAACAGATCTCATGTCAGCATGATGAGAGATAATGTTTAAGTTTCAGGAGGAAGGAGGAGAAAATTATTTAATCCAAAAGTTAATATTCACTTAATTCCAGGCTAAATAATACACCCGCTAAGGCATCTGATGTGTTTGCTTGGGCCATTTAAAAAACATAGGAAATTTAAATATACAAAAGGTGTAACTGGCATAAAAGAAAATAGAATTCTGATTTTGCATTCTCACAAACATCAGTAATTTTTTTTTTTTTTTAATTTTTGGGACAGAGAGAGAGACAGAGCATGAACGGGGGAGGGGCAGAGAGAGAGGGAGACACAGAATCGGAAACAGGCTCCAGGCTCCGAGCCATCAGCCCAGAGCCTGACGCGGGGCTCGAACTCACGGACCACGAGATCGTGACCTGGCTGAAGTCGGACGCTTAACCGACTGCGCCACCCAGGCGCCCCACAAACATCAGTAATTTAAATGTACTGACAAAATACAATGTAAAACTAGGAGGGCAGGAATTTTCTTATTTTCTTAAAAACCAATTTTCTGATATTTTTTGATTCCTCACAAGGGCATCCAGATCGTCAAAGGTCTGGATAAGTCCAAGACCTGGGCATTTTAGCCTCATCAACTTGGAAAAGGCCAAGATAAACTGCCCTTCATTGTGCTACTCACCTAACTCTAACCACTGGTTCTATCAAATTACAGGCTATTTCTAAGGATTAAAGACATTCATCAACGATCCAAATACTGAATGACGGCCTAAATACTGTAGGAGAATACAAACAAGTATGAGGTCTTACACTTGCTTCCTTTTAAAAAACACACAGCAGCCCATGATAAAGCCAAAATGAGTACTATGAACAAGTGACATCATCACTGGTGAGGGAGGGGACATCATTTCAAAGACCAGCACAAAGAAGAACAATTAGACATGATGGGTTATTGGCTGTAGAGGGCAAGAGAGGAGGAGGTATCAAAAGTTTTGAGTATAAAACACCGGGGAAATAACGAACAGTCAAAGCTCAACTCCTACGAGCCCAGGCATCTTAGGTGCCACCCTCACGGCCACTCGGCACATCTCACCAACTACGAGATACTTTTGGTTCTTTCTCTTAAACATGCTCTTAAGATGTTTTTAAATTTCCAAATTTAGAACATGCTTCTCAACATGCTCCTTGTCTTTTCCATTTCCACAGTCTAGCTTACGTCTGCTCTAGCTTACGTTTGGCTATTCAGTGCCCACTTTTCTCACCTTCCTGACTCCAGCCTTCTACGCCATATACAGACTCTCTCCACACAACTCTTAGCTCCAGTTAAGGAATCTTATCAACAAAAAGATCTTGTTATTCCTGTATTCAAAATTTTTGTTCTAATTTTGGCCAGATGAAATCACAATTATTTTTTGCACGGAACATACAAGGGCCTTCACATTCTGAGCTTTTTTTATATAGATGCGCCGTCTCATCGTCCACAGTTGCCTTTCTGGTGTATAATATGCTGCAAGCTACGCTGAATTCCTTATAGTTCTCTGGGTGTCATACCCCGAACCCACATGCCTTTACTTGCTGTTTCCATGGCTTAGAAAATCTTCCCACAGCTTTTCCATCTAGAAAACTTTTCCTTATCCATCAAGACCCTATAACCACCACATGGTCCCTACCATATAAAATCTGTCCTTGAATTTACCGAAACAGAACCCCCAAACTCAGACATTTTCTGAGACATTTCTATTTTCCCCCCGTGCCTTGTACATGTAACAAACACCAAAAACCACTGCCATAATGGAATTATTAAAAGTGTCAATTTATTTTTACAGTACTGAAGAGGAACCATTAAAAAAAATGTGTCTCTTATTCTAATTCCAGTCCCTAGCATAGAGTCAATGCCCAATAAACATCTGTCCAATGAAAGAAATCTGCTATCAGACATGGTAAATCTAGCAGGATACTCAACTAACATGCTGCTGGAGACAGGAGATTGGCACTTGGGGAAAAAGGTCAGGATAGGATGTATATACACCAGAATTAACCACATAAAAGTAAGTTGAGAAAATAAAATGCCCATAAAAGAAAAAGGATGTCTACTGACAAGGACCGAAAATTTTTAGAATATAAAAATGTAGAGGGGGAGAGAAAAGAGCAGGAGATAACAGGTAAAGAAGAAAATGAAGCTATCAAAAAAAAAAGGGGGGGAGGCCTCATGAAATAGTACAAAAAGAGAACTAGCACCGTGATTTATCTGTAAGTTAGGAGAGGGACTAAGGGTCAGAAAGAGCTTCTAGAAGGCAGGAAGGGGTCAAATGCCAGATACTAGGATGAAAGAAAACAAAATTCAGAACTAAGTCCATTTCATAATTAGAAAATTATTGATTACCCCTGTACCAAAGAAGATCAGGGGTAAAAATAAGTATCAAAGTGCGTAGGTACTGAGTGGTGAAGACAGAGAACTTGATAATTAGTAGCATAAGAGATTTTTACTCAGATTTAGAAAAAGTACTGATTTACAAACAGTATCAAGAGTAAAACTACTCATCACAGCAGGAGAAACAGTCCTAAACTCAAACTAATAAAAGCCAGAAGAGGTAACTTCTTAAACAAACCTTGGTCAGTAACACAGAATACAAAAAAAGCAATACTCCAAATTTGTTTCCCCACATTGAATACTGGTCCAGGACAGCATCCTTTAATTCAGGTAAACTTCTGAATGATCTTTTTCTGGGGGGAAAAAAGAATTAAGTATTAGTACTATGATGAGAATGAGGACATTCACAAACGGGAAAATTTTTAAATCGCCTTATACATTAAACTGTGAACATACAAATGAGATTTCTGTAAGTGCCTCAAATTTTCAAATACGTATTTAGCCATAAAAGCAAAAGCTATTGCTGACAAACGTCCCTAAATATATACCATTAAAAAGAATGCCTATGTGGCAAGGAAACGCTTCATCACCTGGGTGACCTATCTGGCATCAATAAATTCCACAATAATTATACATATTTAAAGAATGGAGTGGCCCTCTCCAAAAGGCGTTCAAGAAAAAAGAAAACTTGACTCTGTAAAGGCTGAAGATGATTTAATAAATATCTCAATACCAAAGATAAGGTGAACATTTGTGGCCTCTTTTAAGAGAAATTAATGTCATATTGCAAATGCCACCAGTAATTCTATCAATGCGGCCATCCTTACCTTTCACATTAACATGTTTAATGCTCTAATGAAAATACGAGCACTTTTAACAAAAATCCTAGAAGGAATCTGGCAAATAAGAAATAATAATTCAAATATTTATCCTATTAGAAATCTTTGCATTCATTCAGGTCAGAGAAACATTAAGCTACAATGATTTTTTTGTTTTTTCATTCTAACGATGGAGAAGATTTTCACATTATGAAAAAGTCTATTTTGGTAGTTAGCTAATTTAGGAATCAGAGTAATTTAAGTAAACTTTTATAACTTATTATTTCAAAAACACTGGTAACAAACGAATCCTCAAGTATACAAATCTAAGTACCTTTCCATGGTATGAACAGACTTAAAATGGCAATGTGTCCACAAGGTAAGTATTTTAAATGTTCCAATGTTACTTACTGAATTAATGCATGAAATCGCTCAAAGCCAAGCTCTTCGACAGCCAAGGCAGCTATACATAAAAGACACTTTTCAGCACTCCACATGGCAAATAAATGACACAAGATACACACAGCAGGCTGTAAATACTTTCAAGCAATCAAAATTTTCCTGTTTCCTTACTCCCTTAAAATTCTCAGTTTATTTTCAACTTTACTGTAACACAAATTTATATTTCAACTTCTTAGTTACCATGATTCTAACTAAATTGGGTATGATACTGAGGATGTGAAAGGGGGATTAAATAATAAACCTTTACTTTCGATTCAGTTACACTAGGATAGTTTATAATATATGAAAAATTACTGACAGAGTGCTTCACACATCACTGGAATGTGTCCTGCACTTTTAAATATTCAATTCATAGATCCAAGAAAAATAGCTAATCTTCCTCCTTCATAATATCAGATCTTTAGGTTAAATGTTTAATTGTTAAACAAATGTTATAAAAAGGCATAGCACTTTGAAACTACACAGGTTCAAAGACAGCTTTAAGTTTGTTTCCTCATTTACTTGTACAACTGTTGAGAAGTTTTCAGTAACTTATTTAGATTATGATCATTATTAACACAGCACAATTATTAAATTAAAAAAAAAAAACCAAAGTAAATAAAAGACAGCATTTAAATCCAAGGTAATGTCTCTGCAGCACTTTAAGTGTCAGGCCCCTCTCCAAAAGCGCTACGGGTGTTACGTCATTGAATCCTCTAACAACCCTGTTATCCCCATTTCACAGAAAAGGAACTGAGGCACAAAGAAGGAGCCTCCCTGGAGCAAAATGTAACAAACAACAGAGCTGAGATCTGAATCAAGCCAGTCTTGGCTCCCTCTACAAAGATACTCTCTTTAAAAATTTCATTACATGAATCAAAACGCCTACTCTATCACAATGCACTATTTTACAAAAATTTTATAAAGCAAATATTAGTACTTTTAAATATTAATTCTTACTAGAGAATGAGAGAAATGGATTTATTAGGAGTTCAAAATTAGGATTTTTGATTTATAATTTAAAATGTCTCATGAGGCCATCCTTTCAAAATCATTTTAATTTTCAAATGTTTCCAACAGTTTTTAAAAATCTTCACAAGTCCAAATAGGTTAATTTCAGTGATTTTTTGATTTGTGGGGGAAACAAACTGAAATTGAACCTGAGCATTCACTACTGCAAACAAGTGTGCGTTACCAAAAGCCAAAACTACACACACCACACAAGCCAATGAAATTAATGTTTGTGCAGAATGTAATATTGACAAGAGGGAAAACAGTTCACATGTAAAATCTCAGGATAAAACAAAAATTCGGCCTAATCTTTTCCAAATTGTACTAACTGTTCTGCAGTGCTTGATCACTTAGATAATTTTACTGGATATACACTATGAAAGTAGACATAAAGATAGTAATTTAGAGAAAAGAGGCAAGCAAAATAAAAAGCTTAGCAGGCAGGATGGTGGAAAAATATAAAACACAAGAAAAAGAACATAGCTGGGAATAAAGGAAAGAACAGGTAAAACAGTTTGTTATATGAAATATAAACTTTAAGTTTTTTTGCATTTGTCAACATCTATGGCAAATTCTCAAATTTTCAGTTAAAAAAACTTGTCATATTTTTACAGTACTAAAAACAGATTTAACACAAGGTTTTATTTCATGTCCACTCTTAAAATGAAGCAAGGGAAATTGGAAAACTACTAAAATATGTTTTTTGAAGAGGAATTAAATCTAATATGCCCACCTAAATTAGTTACTGAAGTACCAAAGTTAATACGTTATGAGGCTATTTAACCTAGAGCAATTTAACCTGTAACTACAGAAATGTACAGTATATCCCATAGAAAGCACATCGCATACCCCTAAAATACTAACGAGAAACGTTACAAGAAAAGACATTACTGTTTTCTTGCATATTAATATATAGATTGGCTTTAAGCAGATATTCTCTAAAACAACTTTTAATTAGTTCAACTATTCCTCTGTCAAAATTTTAATGTCCTAAATGCAACTATTAAACATGCTTCCATGCAACCCAGTAAAGCCTGGAAAATATCTTAAAACCAATCTTAAGATTTTTTTACTATCGTCCTTGTGAACATTTTCTACTTGTTTTCTTCTACGGTCATCATCAATTCAAAAAGTATGTTGAATTCTTTTTGAAAGGCTAAGTTTGAAAGAACTGAACAGGAAAAGTCATTCAAAGGTTCAAATTTTTAAAAACTGTTCCTGGCAAATGTCCTACTGTTAGAATTTGCAACTGTAACTGCAAAAGTAGGAGAAAGAAGATGCTGACACATCAGAGTCATTTCAGCCCATGGAGACAATAGTCCCTGAGGGATCATCCTACATGGAAATGAAGATGTACATCACAAGTAATCAAAATTTACTCTCTATAAATCACGTTTATAATTTCTTTAAAAACAGTTTCTGCAGAGATGATAGTTATTGGAATGCATCATAGGAAGAAAAAGTCACTTATTCAATATAAACACGTGGAGCTACCAATTATCAAAAGTCACATACTAGCAAGAGAATTCCTGAAAAGAAAAACAGAAAAGCAATTCTTTATTTAGCTTCAGTACTATCAGAAGTTTCCACTTTACTAGTTCATTCTGGCAGTTTTAAGGTCAATTAAATAAGAATTTTCAAAGGCTAAAATCCACAGGGTACATATTTTTATGAATAAGAATAGCTATTATTTAAAGAGAAATCTTCAATAATGAAAAATTTAAATGAAGGAATAATTAAAACCCTTACTTAAAACTACCTTAAAATAATGCGTATATAGACTATATCGAGTAATATCCAAAAAGTTCAGGAGGAAAAGAAACAATATGTAACAAAGAACAATGTCCCCACCTTTGCTCTAAGAAACAACTAAAGGTATTTAAGAAATTTTCTGATGTCCCTAAAACCCCTTTTTTTCCATTACCAAAAAAACCCCACAATGCTAAGGCATCTAAAACTAAAGTATGTAGGATTATGTTCCTTAAATTTTCTAAATGACAGTTCTAAAGCTCAAAATTTCATCAAGCAGACATTAACTAAAACGTTCTTAAAAAGTTTAAGAGATGCATTTCCTTTCTTTTCTCCAAAAGTGACAACAAGGGAAACAGGCCCCATTGCCCTCTGGTAGCTCAAAGAATTGAAAGGGAAATGAAAAATACTAAGGCTCCTGAATTAAGCAGGGACTAAAAACGAGATGTGTTAGGAGATTTTACACCTTTTTTTTTCCTTCAAAAACTTCAACAATTTTACTAAAACAAAGGTACAAGAAACTCCTTCGGGAAGTAAAAAATAGATCTTACCAGAATGCTCCACTTGGCAACTAGATTCTGCAGGACTCCCAGAAATGCCCGCAGTCTGCTCCTCAGTTGTCTTTCCTCTTAACCAGGAAACCAGGCAGAATGCTCCAGAGTTGTCACAACAGGCACTTTCTAAAATATCACATAAGGTATGACAAAGGAGTTCCTTCCGCTCTTCCTCTAAAAATAACCAAAGTACCAGTTATGATGGTTTTCTTTGAATAGAAGAAAAAAAATCCTGTCATGGGTAACAACAGTAAGAATGTTTTAATTTAATAATGAAAACCAACCATTTTAAGTGGATGGAGGATTCCTCCCCCAGCATAAATAGTCTTACATTTTGGAACAACAATGTGCTTGAGGGCTAAAGTGTCATTACTATTAAATATTGCCATTAATTAGAAAAAGAATCCTGAAAAAGTAAGAACTAAACCTTAGGAGAGAGAAGTTCCCTGCACTAACCCGATACTGATCGCTCCCCTTCCTTGGGCTGTGAAGGGAGCACTGAAGCCGTGAGGGTCCCTCTACTGCAGAACCAGGCACAACGTGAGGGCCTGCTGAGACTTCTAGTTTTTTCCTCATTTCTGAATTAGTCTAATGTCTTTGATCTCCTTGTCCCACAGGGGTAAGGCTTAGGAGATAACACACCATCAGCACACACAATACCAAATTCATTACATTAGCAGACGCCATCATGGTCATGTTGTATAATATAGAGGCTCCCGATGCTGTATTGCAGTGATTGGAGCATTAGACTTTTATAGACAGGAGCACAAATGTTCAATTTCTTCCGGAACCTTAGCCACCTCCTCTTTTCAAGCAGTATCACTCCCCAAAAGTAGTGCTGTTCCTGAAACTTTCAGGAACAGCAGGGGGAGATCGGTATAGGAGCTATGCAAAATTTTATACTATGGGGAGATTTCTATTTCTAATAGACTAGTAGTTCTTTAAAGGAGGAACTACGTCATTCACTTTCTAACCACCACCATCTTTACGTTTATGACAATGCTATGTATTTTATCAATGTGCATATATTTCTGTACAAGAAATACTTCAAATTTTACCAGTAAAGCAGTGATGTTAATATTAAATAGTATCTCTTGGTTTCTTCTCTACAATTTATTTTGCATTTCAGCTAGTAAATAATATAAAAAAAAAAATACATGGGGGATACTTTAACTCTTAAATTCAGTAGATTCTATGGGGATAGTTTGGAATGAAACTGTTCTGCCCTTATACACAAAACTAGGATTATATAATATATCCTACATTCTTCAGAAGTTACTGTGAGGTTCACATAAGAGTGTTCACGTATTAAAGGGAAGACGGTAAACCGTCAAGCAGAATGCAAACGTTTTATTATTATCAGCTAGCACCATACAGCTCTCTGACCTAATCATACTGCAGAAGCTATGACAGCTTCATCTGCGATTTAATTTGGTTCTTTGCAGTATCTGCATTGTGTGAGGCACTATACTAAAAGCTGCGGGAATGCAAAGATAACTCTGAGTTCCTCCTCAGAGCTAAGTGAGATAAAACAAACACAAATGACCATCCCTTACAGGGTGCTATCATTTAACAGTTGAGAGAAATGCACCACTTTTTAGCGAGAGGCCAAGGGTTTATTTTCCCTTAGGTCTATTATCCTGTCTTATGCCTCTCAGGTAACCCAAACTTGGGAATATACACATTAAAATTTGAGGTCACTGTTCATGAAATTTTCTGAAACACTGAAAAAATAAAACTCAGGAAAAAAATACTCCATTTATAGTTTTTTTAAGATAAATGGTTTCAGTTCAAGTACTGCCAATGGAAGCTGCCTAGATCATCTCTAAATTAGAAGGTGATAGAAAAGTTTATAGAAAGCCACTATCATACCTGGGCAATCCCTCCAAGAAGACTTCTCAGAAGAAAACAGGAGCTTCTTCAAAAGAAAGGCCTTTATACAATTAAAGCAATAATTATTAGAATCCATTATAAACAAGCCTTATTCTTTTTTTTTAATGGGAAAAAAAAACCTAATGTATATCTCCTTTATGGTCTACTGAACAGTGTTATAAAATTTTCAGATAGTTTCCCTTCACATTCAACAGTAATTGAGCATACTATTCAGAATATACCACTATAAACTTGATTCTAGATCCCTAAAATTCTTCTTTCATAATATGTACTTTCCAGCAAATAGAACAACTGACTCAAAATAATAGACACATAACTGGAAAAGTAAAGAAACTTACTGCTCATTCACAAAATAAAGACCCCAGAAACAGGAACCAGTCTACATTTCTCTTAGACACCTTGGGGGAAAAGATGTCATAACACAAAACTGGTTCTGCTCTATTAGTTCTGATTTGTGATATGAGAATATCACTACAAGACTCATCATTTTAAGGAGTTCCTAACTTCCTGGTTTAATTCAAAAAGCTTTAAGATTCAAAAGAAAAAAAACAAGTTGACCTCTTGACCTTTTCTTAAGTGAGCTGACTCTGTTACACTGATGACTTGATAGAAAGAAGATCAGTGTAATGTTTCCTTCTCCAAGTGTAGTTCAAGGACCATTTCCATCCCAGTCACCTGACCTGTTTACTTAAAATGAAGACCCTTAGGCTCCACCTATTGGATCTGAATCTCCAGGGGGCAGATCCAAGAAAAAGGTTACTTGGACGCTTCTCACTTACTGTTTGAAAGTGGTAGTGTATTGGTAAGAGGACTGCTTTTAGTCAGACACATCTGGGTCTGAATCCTGGTTCCACTACTTTACTAAAAATAATAATAGCATAAACTTTAAAAGGCTGCAGTGAGGATTATATAGAATAATCTATGTAATACACTTAGCACAGTACCTGGCACCTAATAAGCGATCATTTGAAAGTATTTTAACAAAAAATGAAGTAATATTCTGCAGTATCTTAAAGAAGTAAAATCTAAAACTACTACAATCAAGTGTTTCTGACTTTTTCCCAAAACGGCAACAACCATAAAATGGAGGACTATAACTACATTACAAAAGTTGGGAAAAGTGAGGTGGGATACCCACTGTTTTACCACTGATGTGATCACTGTCAGTATTTTGATATACTTCCTTCCAGTCTTTCTTTCATAACTGTCTTAATTTTTATTACAAGTGAGAAGCATAATGGGTATGTGATATTTCCCATTTTTCTGTTTTCCAACAGGATTCCTAACTATAATTCTTAATCACTACATACCTATCGAGCTGTCGAAATTTACTCAAACATTACTTCACATTTAAACATTATTGTACACTAGCCTTATAATTGTTTACTACTGTAAATACAAAAACTTCTTATTGAATACAATCTTTTCCATATTAAGGATTATTTCTTTAAGAAAGACGCACAGAAGTGCAATGATTTCATCAAAAAATATGCATTCTTACACTTCTGGTTCTAATGTAAATTTCCCTCCCTGAATCAAAGTACAAATGTACCACATAGCAATATGAGTGTGCCAGCACCATCCTACCCTTCTAGGCCCTGGTAATTATTTTATATTTAAAAATTAGGAAGGGTCAGCAATAGAATCTAGTTGTAGTTTTCTTTGTACTTTTTTGGATTCCTAGTGAGGTTGAACGTCCTGATTCTTTGGTTATCCATCATCAGTCCACCTGTTATGCCTGCACACACATCATTTCACCACTGGAGACTGAGTGGTTTTCTAACTGATTTGTACACATTCTTTGTAGAAGAAAGACAATATCCACTTATTGCTAATATTCGTTGCAAATCTTTTTTTGGTCCAAATCTTTTCCATCTTTCTCTTGGTGTTGGCAATACATTAGTTTTTCTGTGGTTCAGTATTATGTCAAGAACATATTTAGTATATGGTATCAGATGATCTAACTTCATTTTCCCCCTCAAACTGGCAACCAGTCTTATCAGTGACATTTACTAAATTTCATTTTATTCTACCAGTGAATAAAATATCTACGGTATGTGATAAATTCTTGGTAAACTGCTATCTATAACATGGTCTACGCCTGTATTAGCCATCTGGTTCCACAATAAGCCTATTCTGGCAACAGGACCATGTTCTAATTTTTATAGTTTAAAGAAGTTTTACTATCTAGACTTGCTCATTTCCCTTCATTAGGCTAAATGGTTTAGTTTCGACTTTTACACTAAAAGTATTTTAAAAACCCAAAATTCTTCATGATTGACAAGATTTATGTGACTATGAAACTAAATTATGACCTCAAAGATACAGGAGGGTTTTGAACACTACAATTATCCCTTGCAGAAACAGCTATCATTATGGAAATATACTGAATTTTATAAAACAGGAAACTCCTGTGGTACACCTTACACTTAACTACATTCGTAGACTTTTAGTAAAAACCCTGGGTGCTAATATGGCCCAGGAGGCCCTGGGTTAATATAATCTAATTTAAATACAGACAGAACAAGCAATCTTCAAATTCAGATGGTAAGATTTTGCTAGCAACCAAAATCCGTCCCCAGCATAACGGCATGATAACTCCAATACTAATTCACAGTTAAATTTTATTCTTTATATTCAGTAACTCCCAGACAATGTTCAAACATTCAAATTTTTCTTAATTTTTAAATAATTTTACTAACGCAAACAAAATCAATTTTAGCCCTTAAAGAAATAAAATAATGACTTATAAAGGGTATAATTTGGAATCAGTCATGAAAGGATTTTTTTCCTCCTTCAGAGAAAAAAATTTTTAATTTAATAATATGTAGTATAAGGCTTGAGAGACCAGTTTACTTCGCAGCTAACAGTTCAGGAATGTGTTCCTTATGTCCAATGAAAAAATATCACATTAAATATGTACTTTCAAAATGTGTTGATTAAAAAACAGAATAAATTCCAGTTTCTTTTATAATAGTTGTGAAGTTACACTGCTGGTCAGACATTGTAAGTATTATAGTAAACCAAAAATTCAATTTGTGGTTTTAAAAATGTAATGATTGTGGCAAACTGGCCCTTGAAATTCAAACAATAGAACATATCAAGATTCAAAATCGTATACGTATATTCAGATTAACACTACCTTGTGCAAAGAAAAACCTTTTTTTTTTAATTTTGGAAATTCTGTTTGAAGTCTGTTATTACTAATTTTATTTTAAAAGCTGAAGCCATAGCCTAAAATTGTAAAGACAACTTATTTTTAAAATGTATACAGTTTTAGAGAATGAAAATATTCACTCGTCGTCAACTTCTTAGGAAAATCACTTCTACAGAAAGAACAAATGAAAATAATATATTGCTATGATGTAGCTATCCCTAGTATAGAATGCTATTACTCAACAGGATCATTGTATTAGAAAGATGTCATTATCATTAATTCCTAATTTTCTGAAGGTCAGGGAACACCTATTCTGGTTTTTTTGATGTAAGATTGTCAAAAGGCTATTGCTGCATAACCTGCTGATGTTCTGAACTCATTTTTATTCTGGATATTCATAGCACTTTACAAGAATAAAAAGTTAAGAGATAACTGATCATGTCTCGTGACACAGATATTAGAAAACAAAAAATAAAGTATGAAACGTTTGAACATGTCCCTCTAAGGAGTCGGTAAAGTAGTCTATGTTACCTGAACAGGTGCAATAACAGCACAGGGGCCACCTTCAAACTGTTCTAATGCAGATCCCTCTGATTCACTAAACACAAACCCTAAAAATGAAAGCAAGTAGCAAAGATTAAAAATGTAATTCAAACAGCAGCCCAAAGAATTTTTAATGTACTTTGCTTTGAGAAAGACCACTTATTACAAAAGCAAAATATCTCCAAGTTAGGCACAGTGGTTCTTAACTTTTTGGGGTATCAAGGAATCCTTTGAAAAAAGATACAGAGCCTATGTTCCCACCCCTGTGCCACACACACACGTGCGCGCGCACACACACACACACACATTTTGCCCCAGGGAACCCTCTCAGTAGAATAAAGGAATAAAGTGTGGACCTCAGTAAAAGACCACTAAATTAAGTCATTTACTTGAAGAAAGACTAGATACACTATCTACAATTCAAACAATTTTTAGGACCTTTCTGTACAGAATCTTTTTCATTCCAATCTTTGAATCACATTCTATAAGCTAAAAATTAAATGGCATCATAGACAGTGTATGTGTCCACACTAGGTCTATCTCAATTTCAGTGCTATCCAACCAAGACTGACTGGGAACAACTAGTACAAGTTCATTACAGAGAGCACAGGGCCAGAAGTATGGAGGATTGTATTTGTATCACCTTCAGGAAATCATTTTGCCTCTGTAGATCTCTGTGTACTTATCTTTAAAATGATTGTTTCCAATTCCAACATGCTAAGAATGTGTAAGGTTTCACCTGTAGTTCAGTCATTCATCCAACAAACATTTGATGAACGTAAGACACTATACTAAGCATCTAGGATGTATGCATGAATGACAAAGTCCCCAGTCTGGAGGAGCCTACAGTACAGGTGAATACGGACATAGGAGCAAATAAATAATAAAGAACAAGTGAATGTTACAACAGAAGTATGAAGATAGCATTGTGGATATAGAGAGGAATGATTTACATGCCTGAGTCAAGTTGTAACAGGTGACTTTGAGGCTGATCTTGAATAGGAACTTGCAAGACACAAGGGTGGAGAATGACTCTGAGGTAAAGAAAACACCTTTATTAAAGGACAAAGGTTTGATAAGAGCAGGGCAAGTTTATGGGTCAGGGGGAAATTTAGTGTAGCTTAAAGGTAGTATGGGGGTAGGTAAAGGAGATGGTAAATGGGAGGAGGGAAATCTGACAAGAGGTTAATACTGGGAAGGGCCAGACCATGACAAGTACTGATTAAATATGATCATACTGGATTTCTGTTTCTTTTTAAAAAGAATACAATGGGGATAAGACTGTTTCAACAGCCATACAGAGATGGTGTGGACCTAATAAAACTGACATTAGTAAGGACAGGAGGAACTATATCTAAACAGTATTTCCAAGGTAAAAGTTAAGATTTGATGGGTATGTGCAAGTGGGACAAAGACATTAGAGCAGATGCTGAAGTTTCTTTTCTTTTTTTTTTTTTTTTAACGTTTATTTATTTTTTTGGGACAGAGAGAGACAGAGCATGAACGGGGGAGGGGCAGAGAGAGAGGGAGACACAGAATCAGAAACAGGCTCCAGGCTCTGAGCCATCAGCCCAGAGCCCGACGCGGGGCTCGAACTCCTGGACCGCGAGATCGTGACCTGGCTGAAGTCGGACGCTTAACCGACTGCGCCACCCAGGCGCCCCCAGATGCTGAAGTTTCTAGCTTGAGACATGAGGTGATAGCAAGTGAGAATGGAAATACTGTCGAGGATCCCATTTCATCCACCTCCTCTCTTCGAACCTTTCAATCCCTCTCTTTAAAACAGTACTTAAACCTGGATCTCACATATTTAAAAACAAAAAAATCCTCCTTAAGAATCCACCAAAAGCTCCTTATTTACTCGAGTTGAAAACTTCTAGCGACACAAAAACTGGCACACAGATGTTTACGGTTCCTTTATTCGCAACTGCTAATGGAAGCAACCAAGCTGTCCTTCAGTAAATGAATGGGTGGCTAAATGAACTGTGATACATCCAGACAACAAAGTATTTGTTGTATTTTATAATTTAGGGCACTGAAAACACTATGAAACCATAATAATGGATAAAAATCATTATATGTTTGTCCAAACCCAAAGAATGTACAACATCAAGAGTGATCTGTAAACTATGGACCATGGATGACAATGATATGTCAGTGTAGGTTTGTCAACTAGAACAAATATTCTACTGTGGTTGGGGGTAATGATAATAGGGAGGCTATGCATGTTGTGGGAGCAGAAGGTATATGAGAAATCTCTGTAGCTTCCCCATTTTGCTGTAACACTGCTCTAAAAAGTGAAGTCTTGGGGCACCTGGGTGGCTCAGTTGGTTGATCATCTGACCCCGGCTCAGGTCATGATCTTACAGTTTGTGAGTCTGAGCCCCATATCGCGCTCTGTGCTGACAGCTCAAAGGCTGAAGCCTGCTTTGGATTCTGTGTCCCAATCTCTCTGCCTGTCCCCCACTCATACTCCGTCTCTGTCTCTCAAAAGTAAATAAACGTTAAAAAAAGTTTTTAAAAAGTCCAAATTTAAAATATGCATTGGACCAGTAAAAAAATCCACCAAAAACTCCAATCACCACTCTCTCCAAGCCCACCCAGTTGTCTATGTGCACTGTCTCACTCTCTTTACCTCACAATTTATTCAACCCACAAAAATTTGGTTTTCAACCTATGACTGCACCAAATTCATTCTCACCAAGTTCATCAATGACCGGTACAGGCTGTTCCTCAAGTCTCTTCTTATTTACTCCCGAGTCATCTGAAATGCTCACCAACAACTTCTGAAAAAGCTTTGCCCCTTAGCTTTACTGGTCCAATTTTGTTTCAATTTTTCTTTTTTGTTTCTTCTCAGTCTCCTTGGTCAGTTCCTCTTAAATGGTAATGTTCCTCATGTCTTGGCGTTAGGAGCTCTATTTTTTTCATTCCAGACATCCTCCTTGGGTAATTCATCTACTCCCAAGATTTCCATTACTGGTAGTATTCAGGGAATTTTCAATTAGAGCCCAGATTAGAACTCCAGACATAGACAGAATCTCATTTCCTTACCATGGTCCTGTCTGATCTGCTTTCCACGTGAATCTCCTCTCTCATCCTGTGCCACTCTTCCTCTCAGATTTCAGGCAGGCTGAGCTTCTTCCAGGTCCTCAAATATCCCTATTCTCTCCGGTTTCTTACCCTTTGAACATACTGTTCCCTACACTGGAAACATTTGCTAACCCTTTCTCTGCCACTTGAAGGCAAGATTCTCTTGTTTCAAGGCCCCAAAACATGACTTCTATCTGTCCATTTCTATCCCATCTCGGTAGACCAGATCAAGCCATGATTGTCTCTCACCTCGAGGACTGTTAAGAGTTTCCAACTAGATGTCTCCACTCCTCCCCACCTGTCCTGCCTCTATCTTTATTTGTTCACCACAGACTTGCCACAGGAATATTTTAGATTTGGAAATCAGATTTTGTCCCAGCCTGCTTCAATACATTTCAGGGGCAATTAGAATGAAATTCAAACTCCTTTCCCTGGCCTTATAAGACACCATGTTCTATTAAACCCACCTTCCCTCAGTTCACTCTCATTTTCATCATCCACAGTGATCTTACAACATGGCAACATCTTGACTTGAGACCTAGGGCTTGCTGTTTCTACTACATGCATGTCCCCTTCTCTCTTCATAAAGCTGAATCCTTCTCCTTCTTAAGGACTCATGTTGGTGTCGACTCCTCAGAGATACTCTCTGATACACCTATCTAAGTAGGTGTGTCTAAATATCTAAGACGGTAGGTCTCTCCTACCATCCTCCAGAACAACCAGTACTTTTCATAATCTGTGATTACGATATTATTGTTTACTTGTTTATTATTGGCCTTACACGTGTCTGGCGTGTTCTGTTGCCCACTGTTTTCCTAGTATGTTGTATAGTTAATGTTCCATAAATGCTTTTTGAACTGTTGCAAGGAAAGAAAATGGGGGAATTTGCTTCTAGGTATTCCAAGTTCGGTTTTGAGATAACCATTTGGCATTATTTAGAAGAGGGGGAAATGTGGGTTTGGAGCTCAGGGCAGGGGTTAGGATTAAAGACAGCAATTTGAATTATCTTCAACACGGCAGTCATAGTAAATGAGAACGTGGAAACAAAGACAATGGAGTTGGGAACATTAAAAAATAAGCAGAGGCTGAGTCAGCGAAGATGGACAAAAAGATTAGAAAGGTAAGAGAAAAACACATTGAAGTCCTCCAGGAAGCAAAGAGTAGTTACTTATTACAAATGCTGCTGAGAAAACACATAACATTCAAACAATGGATTAACCGCATCACTGGGAATACAAAAGAAATCTAGAGCGCTGGAGAGAGTAACCAAATTTTAAGGGGTTGAGGTATGATTCAGAATACAAGGAGAAAGAGTAAATACAAACTATTTGTTAAACAAGAGAAAAGGAAAAAGGATGATATCTTGAAGGGCAGCTGGATAAAGAATCATTATTTATTATTATTTATATAGGCTGAAGGACAGGAGTTTAAAAACAGGAAAGGGGCGATTATATGGGAAAGAGGAAGTTTAAAGACACCAAGTCCTCAAAGAGCTATGCTGTGGGGGTGGCGAGAGTGGATACAGAGAGGTTCTCAAAGTGTGGTCTACAGAACTTTGGAAATCTGAGACCCTTTCAGGGGATCTAGAAGAGGTTAAAATAATTCTCATAATGGTACTAAGACATCATTTGCCCTTTATGCTGTGTTGACATTCACAGTGATGGTACAAAAGTAATGGAGGGTTTTACCGCTGGTGCCTCAGCACACATGAAGGCAGTGTGGTTAAGCTGTACTAGCAGTCATCCTAGTAAACAAAACCACCCTCTTTGACACAGAAAAAGCCAATTTAACTTAAAGAATGCCCTTACTGATGCTAATTTTATTAAATCTTGACCTTGAATAAAATGTCCTTTTAAAAAATATTCTGCATGACAAAATGGAAACTAAAGCACCTCTGCTACATACCTTGATAACGACCGTTGTCTCAAGAAAAAGCACTTGTGTAATTTTCTGAATTGCAAGCTGGAACTGCTTTTTT